AGCCATATCTACCCTCTTGCACCCTAATTTTGAAAAGAATTTAACGAGACCATTATCTCCTTCTATAGTTATGTTGAACCAGCACAAGGCTAAAAAGATTGAAAGTTCAATATGGGCTTAATGGATTGAAGTAAGAGCTTACATGCTTCTTAGAAAATAGGGTAAAGTTGTGGGGCCTAATATATTCAAAAAAGAGTTTGCATGCTTACTAGAAAGTAGGGTAAAGTTTAGGGACTTAATTTGGTACGAAGTATAAATTTTGTGCTTGGTAATGAGGTGTCATATTCTCACTCATTCATTCCAATTCTCAACCTCTACAACCCATGTAAATATGGGACCCGATTTCAATGAGTGGAGAGGAATATGTCATCTCACTACCAAGCACAAAAACTTATGCTTGGTATTAAGCATACCGATTTTTCTCTCTCTATATATAGGACAAAATTTGAAAACAAACTCATTTTAAAACTTATTTATAAAAAAACGACTTATTATCAACTTATTTGTCAAAACCGACCTAGTTTCAGCCATCTGGCTGAAACTGGGTCAATTTTGACCAAAAAACTTACGAAACTTCGCAGGACTTCATGTCCCGTAAAGTTTAGCAGCCAGCTAATTAAACCTGTATAAGTTCACGGGGCTTTAAGTCCCATAAACTTGTGAGGAGTGGATTTAGCTTCACGGGACTTGAAGTCCCATGAAGTTTAGGTGAATTTCAAACTCTCTAGAAATTCAGCCTATAACTTCACAAGACTTCAAGTCCATTGAAGTCTTAGGCCTATTTTCCAGATAATTGGCTCACTAGAAAATGCACTTGCAACTCCACGGGACTTGAAGAAATGCGCCCCTTTGCTACCATGCAACATCTCCCCCAAACTCCCATTTGGCATGTACTCATAAAGTAACAAGTTTGAGTCCCTATTTGACACAAATCCTAGTAGCTTCACAATGTGTCGGTGCCTGATTTTGCCGAGGGTCGTTATCTCAGCAGTGAACCCTCGGTCTTCGACACCGCCTCCGCGACCGACGAGACGTTTTATTGCAACGTCGGTCCCGCTCGGCATGCTTCCGCGGTACACGATCCCCGCACCGCCCTTTCCGATCACGTTGTCATCCCTTACGCTTTCGATCACATCGGAGACCGTGAAGTTTAAACGTTGGAATGCGGTGAGCTTCCATGTGTTGGAGTTTGACTTTGATCTCCACGAGCGGTGCAACTTGATGGCGAGGAGGGCGAGGATTGAGAAGAGGATCGGTATTAAGATTGCCAGGGTTAGATTCTTGTGAGCGGAGTTGTTTCTTGAGCTTTTGGGAGCGTGAGAGGAGATGCAGGGGGACGACTGGTGTAGTTGAGCTCCGCAGAGGGCGGGGTTGCCTTCGAACGAGCTCGCGTTGAAGACGAGGAACTGACCTTGGATCGGGATTGTGCCTGACAAATTGTTATAGGAGAGATCGATTGTCGTTAGGCTCTGCATTCTCTGCATCTCCGACGGGATTTCACCGGTGAATTGGTTTCTTGATAAGTTCAGCGTGCCGAGAATATGAAGGTGCGTGATGTCGGCAGGGATTTCACCAGACAGCTGGTTGCAACTGAGATCAACGGATTCGAGCGACGAGCATTGTACCAGTTCGGACAGGATTTCGCCTGTGAGATTGTTCCCGCTCAAATTGAGCTTCGCAAGCTGCTTCATGCCACCGATCTCAGCCGGAATTTCCCCGGAGAACTGATTTGATTCCAGCGACAAGGTCTGCAGCACCGGAAGACTCCCTATAGACTTCGGAATCGGACCAGAAATCAAATTGTTCGACAACGAGAGAATACCGAGCTTATCGCCTCTTATCACCGGCGGCAACTCGCCGGAGAAAAAATTATTGCTCAATTCAATCATATCAGCCGCCGGCAACCGCCGGCAAATCCAGAAGTCCAGCCGGAATCGACCCATTCAAGAAATTATCACCGAGCCTAACATGCTGAAGGGACTTGCACTCTCCAAGCTTATCGGGTATCGGGCCGAAAAACCCGTTATCCATTAGAACAAATATCTCCAACTTCCCGCCTTCACAGAGATCCGACGGAACCAAACCCGTCAACCTGTTCGTGGTAACGTCGAGCTTCTTCAACCTCCCACTCCTCCCCAAATTCGCCGGCAACTCCATCGTAAAATTGTTCTCCCAAATCTGCAAGACTTCCAAATTGGGCAAATCGGCGATAAACGAAGGGATGCTCCCTCTAAAATGATTCCGAAAGAGATTGAGCAGGGTGAGACTCTGAAGCCCAGCAAAAGTCTCGGGTATTTCCCCCGACAGCTCGTTGACGGAGAGGTCCAGAGATTTCAAACTCGGAAGCCCGCCCAATTCATCAGGAATCGACCCCGTGAGATTATTGAACTGAAGAAACAGGCTATTAAGCAGTTCCAAATTCCCGAGCTCCGGCGGAATCGGTCCGGTGAGATTGCAGCTACCCAGATCGAGCTTCTCGAGCGCCGTCAGCGCCCCAAACTCCGGCGGGATGCCGCCATCGTAAGTGTTAAAGTAGCCTATATACATCTCCTTTAGCTTCTCCAGCTTACTCAAGCTCGGCGGGATTTTTCCGCTCAGGGCATTTCCGTTGAGACCCAAGTAGACGAGACTCGAGAGCTGAGAGTAGGAGTCCGGGATCTCTCCGGAGAAGAAGTTGCCGCCGAGCTGGAGATGGCGGAGCTGGGTTAGGTTGGAGAGGGAGAGAGGGAGTGGGCCCGAGAAGTTGCTTGTTTGTAGGCGTCGAGGGTTTCGCTGATGAGGGGGAGGCTCGAAGGTCGGGAACTGCGCCGCGAGAAGTTGTTGTTGGAGATGTGAGGTGGGAGGAGGTGGCGGAGGCCGGAGAGGAGAGGGGCACGAGGGTGGCGTTGAGGTGCGAGGAAAGGAGATTTTGAGCGGATCGGGACGTGGATGGGAAAGAGGGGTTCGCCACGTGACGCCGGAGAAGGAGCAGGGGGTCGGGGAGAGTGGCGTCCAGTCGGCAGAGGGGCAGGGCGGTGTGCAGGCCTGGTGACGGGACGAGGGTGGGTTTGAGGAGAGGAGGGTGGAGAGTCATCGGGGAGGAGGAGGAGGGTAGGAGAGAGAGGGAGAGGAGGAGGAGGAGAGAGAAAATGTAGCGGTTCATTTGTTGGGTTTGAGGGATCAGCGGGAGGGGAAAAGGGGATTAGAGAGGATAATAAATAAGCAGCATCATCAGGTGATGGTTTGTGTTGATAATGGAGGGAGAATCACACGATAGGATAAGAGAGAGACTTCATATATACGGTGAGTATGCGGTGGACGGTACATCTTACTAAATAAATTATTAAAAAATTTATAATGTTCGAAAACATCACGGAATTTAAAACGCAGTCAGTCAAGTTTAAACTATTTGTTAACCACGTAATTAAACAAGAGAAATCTTTCACATGATTTGAAATTCTATGAAGCTCAAATTCCACAGGGTTTTCAAATCCAGTGAAGTTTACAGGTCATAGTCTAGAGCACCCAGGGGATCATCTTCCCGCCTCTTCTGTACGACGCTCCAAACTGTTCCGTGCACCAACCCCCACCCCTACTTGTAGATCCGGTAGGAGAAGATGGCGTGCAGTGAGTGGTGTTAGTCTAAAGTGTAGACTCAAAGTCGAAGTCGAAGCTGGAATCAAGAAGATGAAGAAAAAATCGAGAAAACAGAAGGAAACCTGCACGGTCGACCGCGACAGTCGACCGCGAACATGCACAAAGCTGGTTAGAGCCTGGAGCTGAAGGCGGTCAACCGTGGATACCCTATAGGATTTTTGGGCTCTGTCGTTTGATACGGTCGATCGCCGTGGTCGACCGTCACGGTCGATCGCCGCGGTCGACCGTCACGGTCGATCGCCGCGGTCGACCGTCACGGTCGATCGCGACGCAGTTAGCCAGTTTCCTTATCTGTTTTGGATTCTGTTTCTTCCAGGATTCTATATATACCTAAATGTTTTTAGGGCTTGATAGAACACGAAAAAGAGAGTTTTTGACTGCAGAAAGAGAGAGAATCTCAGAGAGATAAAATCCTAGTTTGAGAGCTTGTATTTTTTTCTTCAATTAATAAAAGAATTGTATGGTGTGGCTCCCAAGGACGTAGGCACGTTTGCCGAATCTCGTTAAATCTGTGTGTTCGTCTCCTTTACTCTTTTACAAGGTCAGATCTTTATTTGTGGTGAATTTCCTACTTTCCTACTTTCGACACAAGGTCCGAAAGGGCAAGGGTTCGATTGATTATTTTGAATCCCCGACAACTGGTATCAGACCTTCGTTCAGTAATTTTTGTGAAAGCCATGGCAGAGAAAAACAAATCAAAGATCGAGAAGTTTGACGGTTCAGACTTCTTCTACTGGAAGTCATAGATGGAGGACTATCTGTACAGAAGGACTTGTATCGCCTGTTGATGGGCAAGGAGAAGGGACAAAAGAAAGAGGAGTCAGATGGTGATTGAGAGATACTAGATAGAAAGGCTCTAGGGCAAATCCGGTTGTCGCTCGTCAAATCACTAGCCCACAACATATTAAAGGAGAAGACTACGGTGGGGCTTATGGAAGCGCTCGCGAAGATGTACGAGCAACCGTCGGTAGCAAACAATGTGCATCTCATCAAAACTCTTTTCAACCTCAAGATGGCAGAAGGACGGTCCTTCACGGTGCACCTCAGCGAGTTCAACACGATTGTTGATCAGCTTATCTCCGTAGACATCACTTTTGATGACGAAGTGTAGGCCTTATTGTTACTATCGTAGTTGCCGGATAGTTGAGCAGGTTGTGTGACGACAATCAGCAAGTCGGCGGGGAAGGAAAAGTTGAAGCTGAGTGAGGTGGTTAGCATGATTCTATCCGAGGAGGTTAGAAGGAAATCGTCCGAATAAGAAGGTTCAGGTTTAGCTCTAAGTTTCGAGCAGAGAGGCAGAAGCCAGAAGAAAGGAAACCAGAATAGAATCGGTCGAAATCAGTGAAGAAGAGGTCGAACTTGAAGGTTAGGCCTATCAAAGGGAAGTGTTAGAACTGCGGCCAGGAGGGCCATATGTCTTCAGTCTGCAAGAGTCCAAAGAAAGATGCAGGTGAGCAGGAGGCTCATATCGTACAGGATGCCTTGATCCTTGCTATGGGTAGCGACTTGGATTCTTGGGTCATTGATTCAGGAGCCTCTTTCCATGCCACTGTTAACAGGAAGCTTCTCCAGAACTATGTAGCAGGGGACTTTAAAAAAATATATTTAGGGAATAACGAGCCCTGTAATATTGTTGGAAAGGGTGAAGTGCAGATTCAGATGAAGGGCTCTAACTGGACCTTGAAGAACGTGAGATACGTACCAAAGTTAAAGAGGAATGTTGTTTCGTTGGGACATCTTGGAGCAAAAGGCTATGTTTCTACATTCACAGAGGATTCGTGAAAAATCTCTAATGGTACTATGATAGTTGCTCGAGGCAACACACTAGGAACTCTCTACCTCACCTTATATGCGAGTGACACCCTCGTAATTACAGGTGGAAAAGAGAGTACAAATCTATGGCACAACAGGCTAGGGCACATGAGCGAGAAGGGGATGAAGATTTTACATTCACAGGGAAAACTGGCCGGGATTGACTCCGTAGAAGTCGGGGTTTGTGAAAACCGTATCTTTGGAAAGCAGAAGATGATTAGTTTTCAGAAGGGTGGAAGGCCACCTAAGGCTTGGAAACTAGAGTTGATTCATACAGATGTATAGAGTCCAGTCAGTATGTCTTCTTTTGGCGGTTCGAGATATTATGTCACCTTCATCAACGATCACTCGAGAAAGGTGTGGGTCTACTTCATGAAGCACAAGTCAGAGGTGTTCGGAGTCTTCAAGAAGTGGAAGGTCATGGTGGAGAACGAGACAGATCTGAAGGTGAAGTGTTTGAGATCAGACAATGATGGAGAATATGAACTAGAGGAGTTCAAGAGGTTTTGTGCTACGAATGTGATTCGATTAGAGAGGACTACTCCAGGGACGCCGCAGCAGAACGATGTTGCAGAGAGGATGAACAGAACCTTGACAGAGCGTGTCAGGAGCATGTGATTACATGCATGTCCACCTTAGACATTTTGGGCGGATGCGGTGCATACGACAACTTACCTTATTAATCACGACCCATCAGTTCCATTAGATTTTGGAATTCCAGAGGAGGTTTGGAGTGGCAAGAAGGTCAATCTCTCACACCTGTGGGTATTTGGTTACGTGGCTTATGTTCATATCAGTGACCACATTAGGGACAAACTAGAGGCTAAGTCACAAAAGTGCACATTCATTAGATACGACATTGATGAGTTCGGATATCATCTTTGGGATGAGAAGAACCAGAAGATCATCAAAAGCAGGGACGTGATATTCAATAAGGAGGTGATGTACAAGAACAGGGAAAATACCAATGATAGCTAAAACAGTGGGAGCAGTACTTCGGATGCAGGTGGATCCGAGTATATGGATATAGAGGAACATCTAGATAGGAGTGATGATATTTGTTCTGATCACAGAATGGAGGAGGCTCCAGGTGTAGAAGAAACTACCCAGGGTATGGAGCTTAGAAGGTCATCTAGGGTACCCAAACCAAATCTCAGATATCTTTTATCTCTTGACTACTTATTGTTGACAGATAGCGGTGAGCCGGAGTACTATGAAAAGGCAATACAAGTGAGTGAATCTCAGCAGTGGAAGCATGCGATGCAGGAGGAGATGGATTCTCTACTCACTAATGAGACATGGGAGTTAGCCCAGCTACTTGCACAGAAGAAGGCCTTACGTAACAAATGGGTCTAACGGGTCAAGCAAGAGAGTGATGAAAGTAAGAGATTCAAGGCTAGATTAGTAGTAAAGGGGTTTCAACAGCGGAAAGGAGTAGACTACACAGAGATATTTTCCCCTGTTGTGAAGCTCACAACCATCAAAGTGGTGTTGAGTTTGGTAGCTGTAGAATATCTCTTTCTTGAGTAGTTAGATGTAAAGATTGTCTTTTTTCATAGTGACTTGGATGAAGAAATCTACATGAAGTAGCCTGTTGGCTTCATTGAAGAAGGAAAGAAAGAGATGGTGTTCAAGCTCAAGAAGAACTTATATGGCTTGAAATAGGCTCCGAGATAGTGGTATAAAAAGTTTGATAATTTCATGCAAAACAATAGCTACAGAAGATGCAATTCGGATCATTGCTGTTATTTTAAAAGGTTCAAGTCTAGCTCATTATCTTGTTATTATATGTTGATGATATATTGGTGGCAGGACCGTGTTTAGAAGATGTAAACAGTTTGAAGAAACAGCTAGCAAAGGAATTTACAATGAAGGATCTAGGTGCAGCAAAACAGATTCTAGGGATGCGAATCAGTAGGGATGAAGCTGAAGGAACATTGAGATTGAGCCAAGCCGAATACATTGAGAAGGTACTTCAGAGGTTCAATATGCAGGATGCTAAAGTTGTTAGCACGCTCCTTGGAAGTCAGTTCAAATTATCTGAGGAGCAATCGCCTAAGACAGATGCAACTAGAGAGCATATGAGTAGGGTACCATATTCTTCGGCCATTGGGAGTCTCATGTACGTGATGGTTTGCACGAGGCCGGACATCACCGATGAAGTTGGAGTTGTGAGCAACTTTGCAAGCAATCCAGGGAAGAAACATTGAGAGGCCGTGAAATGGATAATGCAGTACTTGCGGGGAACAATGAACAAGCTACTATGTTTCAGGAGGAATGATTAGTGCTGCAGGGATACGTGGATGCAGATTTCATCGGTGATAATGATACGTAGCGAAGCACCACAGGGTATGTTTACACCTTAGTGTCGACAGCAGTGAGCTGGGTCTCACGTCTGTAGAAGATTGTGACTTTTTCTACAACCGAGGCTGAGTATGTCGCGGTGACTGAAGCAAGTAAGGAAATGATCTGGTTGAATGGGTGTTTGGAAGAGTTAGATTTGAACCAAGGGAGATGAGTTCTTTATTATGATAGCCAGAGCGTTATACATCTTGCTAAGAATCCAGTATATCATGCCAGAACAAAGCATATCGATGTAAAATACCATTTATACGCTTGCTAGTTGAAGACAAAAAGTTACATTTGATAAAGATTTTGAAGAGTCAAAATCCGGCGGACATGTTGACGAAGACAGTCACCATTGAGAAACTAGAGTTGTGTGCAACTTCAGTTGGCCTTCACGAGTAGAAGACGAAGGCGGGGCCACACTATAAGGATCGGCGAGATCGCCCGGATATTGTTGATTGAAGAAAGAATTTTTTCGAGGAGAAGAAGATACATGCGAAGAAGGGGAGAGTTTGGATGAGCTCGCTGATGGCACTTTGGTCTCCAAGTGGGAGATTTTTAGTCTAAAGTGTAGACCCAAAGTCGAAGCCGAAGCTAGAATCAAGAAGACGAAGAAAAAAATCGAGAAAACAGAAGGAGGCCTGCACGGTCGCGACAGTCGACCGTGAACGTGCACAGAGCTGGTTAGAGCCTGGAGCTGAAGGCGGTTGACCATGACGGTCGACCGCACAAATCTCTGTAATGGATTTTGGTCTCGGGTTTTGATTCGGTCGAACGTCACGGTCGACCGTGGATACCCTGTAGGATTTTTGGGCTCTGTTGTTTGATACGATCAACCGTCGCGGTCGATCGCGATACCTGCACGGTCGACCGCGACGTAGTCTTCCAGTTTCCTTATCTGTTTTGGATTCTGTTTCTTCCAGGATTCTATATATACCTAAATGTTTTTAGGGCTTGATAGAACACAAAAAAGAGAGTTTTTGACTGCAGAAAGAGAGAAAATCTCAGAGAGATAAAACCCTAGTTTGAGAGCTTGTATTTCTTCTTTAATTAATAAAAGAATTATGTGGTGTGGCTCCCGAGGACGTAGGTACGTTTGCCGAACCTCGTTAAATCTGTGTGTTCGTTTCTTTTACTCTTTTACAAGGTCAGATCTTTATTTGTGGTGAATTTCCTACTTTTCTACTTTCAACACAAGGCCCGAAAGGGACCAGATCATGATCCAAGACTCGCTGGCTACTTCCTCTCCCTTTGTCGTCGACTTTGACGGGTCCGCAGCCGCTGGATTTGGCCAAGGGTTCGATTGATTGTTTCGAATCCCCAACAGTGGGGCGGGTGAATAGGGAGGACTGAGGGTTCATCGATGAACGGGAAGGTGTTCTCGTACCTCCTCCTTGGCTTCATTGCCTCCCTCGCTCACCTCTGCGTCTACTACGGCACCTCCTTCGGCCCTGGCCTCTACAAGCGAGACATTACCCGCAACGATGACGATGCTGGATCCTCATCTTCCTCCTTCAGCGCCGATTCCAATTCTAATGCTTCTGCTGCCAATTCTCACTTGCCCATTTCTTTTCCCGCGTTACTGCTACTTCCGCCCTAGCTCCCCTCTCCCTCCTTCTCGATTTGTTTTTTTTTCTTTTTTAAAATCAATTATTTCATTTTTTGGGTAGGTTTGTGATATGAGGTACTCGAAGCTGATCCTTGCTTGGACCGCAAATCTCATGTACCAGCTGAAGCTCTGCAAACTTCAGGGGATTTGAAATCGCGTGAAGATTTTGTCTGCTTAATTACGTGGTTAACAAATGGCTTAGACTTCACGGGATTTCAAATCTCGTAAAGTTATTAAACATTTTTTGCCAATTTTGAACCCGTTTCAGCCAACTGGCTGAAACTGAGTCGAAATTGACAAATATTTCAAAATAAGTCGAATTTTCTAAATATTTTTTTAAAGAGGTCTAAAACGAAAACTTATCCAAATAAACCATTAAAAATTTTATAATGTGATACTCATCTTTCTGGTCATATTAAATTACTGTTATTACGATGATTGTGTTTGCGATAGTCATGAGAGTGACCGCACATCGATGGATGATACACTAAAATTTATGTGCTAGGAAAGGGATTGGGATCTTCTACTAATGCATAGTGCCTCCTAATATCTCCTAATGCATCTCCATCTTTCATTGCATTGTGTCTCCTCGTATTTTGTGCTTATGCACAAAATGAAAGGTGAGGATGCATTAGGGGCTGTTTGGTTGTTGTTGGTAAAGTTGTGTTTTTATGACACAACTTGGAAAGTTGTTGTCCACCTCATCAATTTTACTTTTATACTTTTCTTTGTTTGTTTTTGATTCCATTGGAATCATAAAACACTTGTTTGGTTTGCAAAATGAAACTTTAATTGTTTGTTTGGAAAGTGTAAAAAGTGGTCCCTACTCAAATGATCATATTGGTTGGAATTATTTTTTATTATTTTTTCCTAACTTCAATGTTAGCTTTCACCTAAAATCATGTCTTTTTTTCATGAAATCACTTTACAAGCTACATCAGCATATGAAATCACTTTACATTATTTTCACAACTACAAACAAACAATTGAAAGTGATGAAAGCTATCACTTTACATTATTTTCACAACTACAAACAAACAATTGAAAGTGATGAAAGCTGACATTGGGACCCACTTTTTTACACTTTACATCCTTTTACATGGTAAAAACATACAACCAAATAGCCCCTTAGGAGATATTACGAGTCATTATGCCTTAGTAGAGGATCCCAATCCCTAAGAAAGTAAATTTGAGTTGTTTTAAAAGGTAAATTTTTAAAGAGCACTTCTAAAATTTTACACAAAATCTCTTAAACTACTTTCATCATAACTTTTTCAGTTTTTATCCGGTGACGTGGTTTTAAAATAGTATCATCGCTACTACGAATTGAAAATATATTTAAAATTAATACTATCATATGCAAGTCCCAAAAAAGTCATCAACCTACAGCCATTTTAAAATATAAAATTATAATGACGAATCGTTTAATAGGATATAATTTAATGTGATGAAACAGCATATAGATTTGTGGACCTAATTACAATCTCAATGATTCATAGTGAAGATTAGGGTCTGTTTGGTTGATTTCCTAAAAACCAAGAAATAAAAATGAAAATGTGAAAATCTTAAAAAGTGTAATTTTATCCATTTTCATCACTAAAACTCACTCACAATATTCAATAAAATATTACTTTCATCCAACAACTCATCCGTAGCATCTAATAAAATATTATTTTCATCCAACAACT